TCCAAAATCGATCGCAGTAGCACAAACGTATTTATTTACTCTTTATCTACTTTTAGATCATAAATGTTAATATTACTAATATAAGGATTATCTTTCCTACTGATTAACCCGATTCGTTTTTTCCTCAGTAGGAAACCTTCGTTTGAGGCTTCATGCCATCCGGTTCTTATCACCACAACATACCTAGAAAATTGAGGAGACTGATCTATTCCTTGAAGTCTGAACTCATCTAAAGAACGAAGACCAACTTATTGAAGTATTCAAATTACACACTACATTTGTTAAATGTGAAAAAATACATTAAATACACTGTTTGCACAACCTCCTTGAATTTCATCCTACAAGCTCTATCGTTCGTTAATTCCTGATGCTACTCAGACTGCTTTTGTTTTTATTCCCCTTCTAATTATCGTCCTCTACTGTCAGTAAGGATCCTACCTAAGACTCCCTATACATACTACTTATATCCGTCCGTATAAATAGCACACACCACACTCGCCTTAGCCAGTCAGAAATCCTAGAGAAACTTGGGTGTCCTCATTTTAGGACAGAGATTTTTATATTGATTGATCATTGCGTAGCAAATTACATGTTTGCCTAGTCTTTAGAGCTGATAGGATCTGATCGACAAAGCTCTGAATACTTCCAACAGATGAACATCAAAGCTCACTGGATCCAATGTCAAGTCATCTAGATTAGTGACCTTACTACAGGTTGACTTATGGATTTCGATAAGCTCTAAAGAATTGACAAACATGACACTGATCACTACTCAGTGCGACTAACGTTTATTGTTTTGTCTTTACCATTATTATTATTTCAACCATATGTTCTTTTTTCCATTGCGTTAGTTCTTTTTTTCATTTTGCCAATATGAAGTATGTTACAGCTAGGACTGACACACATTGAAACCTAGATTGAAAAAATGGACAATAATCAGAAATCAGACAGTAATGATGTGATGTCATTTTAGTTTTAGGATCATTCAACTATGTGGAATTATCACCAAGCCAAGAATTTTTCCAAAGACTCATATATTTCACTGAGAACCCACTATAACAGTGGACCATTGAGTTGACATTAAATACCTGAGATCCTTAACTGTACTCAATTCAATTCAACAAATACCTCGACCGTTATTAGTGACACCTGTTTTACACTTGATATGACTGAGCTCAACTGAAATGTCACGACTTATCTCTAGAGCTTAGGTGATCTACTCTCAAGTTAGTTATTGGTGAGAAAAGTGTTACTTTTGCCCAGGTCAGAGTAGGTTGGAGAATGCTGGTCGGCGGCCTACATTCCATTGGGAGTTACAGGCGTAAGTAAGTTAGTAACTAAGTGAAGTATTACTTTTAGTTGAGTCCAGTAATTGCTCAGTGTTCTACAGTTACCGACCACTCCTCAGCTGTGACAAATATCATCACAAAAAACGTACCTCCGTAGACTACTCAATTAAGTAAGTTCAGCGATTTACGTAAGTTATCATTCTCTGTGAACTTTTTGTATTTACGTGAATAAATTCAACATTAGTTATCTATTTCATCTTGACGTTTATCACAACGAGGCTAACTGAAGAGCTAATGACCAATGCTCATCTTTTATTTTTACCCATGATTAGGTCATATAGCTAAATGACAAATAAAACTCAATCTTAAATATTGATTAAATAATGTACACATAAATTCATTTTTAATTAATTAGTGCTACATTCAATCAGTTGGTCAATGGTACTTTTCAGTGTAATCTATTTCGTTGGGAGATTCAAGGATCAGTTCTATGGACAAAATAAAGACTTAATTATACAGTCTGTAGTGTCGGTTATATTATGTTAAGCCCATATTCTTTATTCTAACTTTCGGATAGCCCATTCTATTCATTCTACTTTAGTCACATTCTGACCTTGTTATTTATTCGCTTATCGATCTTGACTGTTTTTATATGAGCGCGTAGGTGTGTGTATATTTCTTATCCCATTACTCATCACATGTCTGTAACTTACTTTTGTGTAACTATAACTATTGATTAACGCTTGGTTAAAGGGGAGTTGGCTTACCTGCCATCTCCACTCCGCATCGTTTCTCTTCTCCGGATTCCATTCGCTTCATATACAAAATATAAATATTCAAAGTCCATTCTCGTTATTTGACTTATCTAAATCCGTTATTGACTAACACGATTAAAGTCGATGATTACATACGAGTATAGGTGATAAAAACATTCATACGATCTAAATGGAGTCAGATCCACGGCCCACTAAAGTGGAGAGCCCTTTTGACAACATCGTTCGATCTAAATGACGACAAAACTAAAGGGCCTCACAAGTCATTCTACTTGTATTGTAACATGTAGTTCATCCATCATAACGCAATTCAGAAAATAATATTAACCTGCGGTCAATACGGTAGCAAAGCCAGTTACAGAATCAATGGTTAGAAGTTGCAGGTAATTTTCAACCTGGCTATAAATTGGAAGTATTTAAAATCAAGATTGGTATGAAGTTGAGGGAACCATTGAAAGCCTATGGGAAAATTGAAAAGCTGTTTTGTCTTATTTTAAGACTTTCCAATAACTTCTACTCGATGGAATGACTCAGCCCAGAACCAACAAGTGATACAATTAACAGGATATAATAATACTCGTTTCATTCAATATCATGCATTTATGAATATTGAGTTGTGGAGATTGTTAATTTTGTGATTGAGATCATGAACCGATTGATGTTAGATCACCATTGAAAACCTGGAAGCACTGGACGGCTGTTTCGTCTTAGTATGGGACTCCTTAGCAATTCCCATCCACAATCCCGCACGTGAGATTTGAATCCAGTACCTTCAGTCTCGCGCGCGAACTCTTAGGCTGTAAACCACTGAGCCGGGATCCAACGGTGTTAATGTCTAACTTCAACCGATCCACGAAATCGCGTGACCATCTTCTATTTTACTGAGGTAGATACCTTTCTCTACCTGACAATGACAAGGAGTCGCTAATGTAATTTATGAAAAATTGCAACCAAGTTCTGGCTTTATAAACATTTAACTTATCAGTATTAAAAATTATATGTAAAAATATTTTAAACAGAGATCAGCTACTTTTCACTTCCTACCGTAAATGTTTAAGACGAGTTTTGGGCCTGTGATATCTCTTTTCACCTTTAAATATATTTGATATATAAACTCTATGATACTTGCCTATCGTTTATTCAAGGAAGAAGGGGACAAGTAGTAGAATGAGGAAATTTAATGGACCATAGTGATGGTATTCCTTAAATTTCTCAGTCATTTGGATTCTGCGTAGGTTGGTAACACTTAACGAGAGTGCTTAATTATGTTCGTTGCTGACAAAAAAGTTTAATTAATTTTTTCAGTTCTACAACAGAAAAATCTATGGTTTTAAAATAATGACTGTTTGATGGAAAAGTGGCTCAGATATTTGGTCCACACGTGTATCAACATGAATATCAATGCATTAGAATAAATTCGAGAAAATTTCGAACGACGTATGATGTTACTGCGGCCTGAAATTAGTAGTAATTATTTTCTGGTGAATGTGTGAGGGTATGCAAATTTAACCGATAAATGAAAGTGGATTATTGGTGCAGTCAAATTTATCAATTTCTTTTTGATCTTTAGAGAAATCCATCTAAAATCCCCAAGAAACTTATGTGACATTCTTCATTGCTTCTTTTAGACAATCAGTTTGTTATAAATAAAGTTGGTAATAATATTAATGTAAATATGCATTGTCACAAGTTGTTGCTCTTCATATCAGCACAATGTGCGACAATTTTGCAGATAAATGTCAAAGTAGTCAGAATTATAATAGTAGTGATAATGATAGTAAAAACGTAGACATGGGAGTTCTAAACTAACGAGTAAACGTCAGGGATTAAAAACTCTCCAAGTGTTGATTACCTCTCGAAACAGCATACCATCAGTTAATAACGTGGTTATTAAATATCACGTTTTATTTTGACAACTCCAGTCTTATTTTAACCCATCTCTATGTTAATCCTTATTGCATTTCGTGATAGATAGTGGTTGAGCATTCAACAATAGCATTCATTTTGATATATGAATCATGGTTACGTAATCTAACGTAATCACAGTTATAACAAGAGAATTTGTGGATAACCGAGTGAGTTCATTATTAGTCATGAGGTTTTGTTAATTTTCGTTTAGTCTCAATAAACTCAAAACCCACAATTTGCATTTATGAACTGATGAATATATCCCTGACACAAACTGACTGACTTACTTAAACCGCTATTCTTTGTATAAATAATTACAAACGAAGTGTACTCTATTTATGTAAAATTCATTTGCACTATAACTAACCAATCAAATTTAAGTGTTTTTTTTTCGTGCACACATGTAATGATTGGTTACTTATCATTTGTTCACCTTCTTTTCTACTGTTACATTACTATGTAATCTGCACTATAAACTGTTCAGTTAAATTTGTTCATCTATCTGTCTATCCATCTATCTATCCATCCTAATTGTTTCAATCTTCAATAACAAACAACTTGGAATTCACTGATTGATCCAAAAACAAATGTATCATATCTATCTGACCATTGTACTAGTGTACACCATAATAACATAGAAATACAAAAAGTTAACTTCTTTTTTTTTTTTTCTAGATTACATTCTAATAGTTAGTTTAAATAATCAGTTCAGAGGATCAGTGTGCATTTCGTTTTCGTTAATACTATTTATGATAATCTGAGCTGTTGAAATACAACTAAAGGAATCATATCATTATTGTCATTATTATTATTAGTAGTAGTAGTAATAATAATAATCATATTAAGAGATAAGCACACATACTCTTTCATATAATATAACCAATTTTCGACTACTCCTTTCTTTGTGTTTCTAAGAGAAATCTTTAATATTTCTTGTCACTTCGAATAGACAAAACAAAACAAAAACAAACAAATTTTTGTTAATAAACAATTATGACTGAAACAGCCCATACATCCGATTCGGAAATGGATGATCCGAACAAAATTACAGGTCAGTCATTTTTATTTATATATATAATAATTAATTACTGTTCGTCTATCTATCTATCTATATATGTGTGTGTATGTGTATGTGTAATAAGTAGTATACTAAAACTTTATCATCATCATCATCATCATATTTATTATTTATTTGATTCAGTCATGAAATCTGGAACAATTGAAAATATCCACATCATTAGTTATCCTTTCCATTTCAGTTAGATAATCTTAGAACCAAAATAACGTCTTATTTCATGTCGGTCATATAGGTGTACTGACAGATCTCTCTCTCTCACACACACACACATATATATATATTGAAATCTTCTCTGATATTGAAAATCAATATTAATGGGATTATTATAAACTTATGTGAATCATTGATGATTTCTGGGAAAGGTATTTAGTTACTTTTTTAAGAGTTCATTAGGCCTATATTCATCGTCATAATATCTAACTATCAAAATGAATTTAGCTACTTAGTAACCATGAGTCGAAATAAGTGATTATAATCCTTATCGGTTTGTATTATCCTTTTGTTGATAAACAGGATTGAATGTTTATCTGTTTTAGTTGGTATATGTGTGTTCTAAGTGAAGTTGTCGATTTTGCCTATTTTATATTACGAGTTTCAATATATTTGAATTTTAACAGGCAGTAGAACTTGAGACACACGTTCCGCCGTATTCTATACCTGTCAGATGCTTTTACCTGTATCTTGATGTTGATATTCCCTCATTACTTATCAATTCCAACGCACAGGCGTTATATGCTTAACTACTGACCTAAATTCACTCCTGAATATATACAACGAGACAATACAAACCCTTATAAATAAAATATTGTATTCTTTAATCAAGTTAGTGGCTATCTGATTCCAGTTTCTCAGTGGATTTTGCGTTGATATTTGAAACGATACGTATTGCGCTCAGTTTTTAACGTGAATGGCAACACTGAAATGAAATTTTATTTTTAATGGACAAGTTTTGAGTAGGTCGAAGCTAACGTAGTCGGTTCTACTGCTAGTCATAGTCCTAAATAGTGGCAATGTTTTCTTCTACATGCTAAGTTGTTTCATATTGACCATTAACATTTATTCACTGAAACCTATTGTATGACTCATATGAGACTGTAGTTGTTCAGAAAGTCTTGAAGGAAGAGGCCATTAATTAATACCATCATGATTGATAGACAAACATGTAAAATAATATGACTTTTTAAGATTGGCATGAATACAAGGGTTCACGTAAATGTCATATATGTATTGTCTTCAGTAATAATCGAATTCTACTAATTAGCTTACACTGTGGTCATCAGTTTAAGGAGCTCGACATTATGTTTACTATATTTTGATGTTAAAACTACACAAGAAGCATCCCTTCCCTGAAGACGGTAAATAGGCCTTGGTGATGAGTGTCATCTGACACAAAACCCACTTCTAACGAAGGAATCTTGCTAAGTGCTTCCTACCTATATACACCAGTCTTCGTCACTGGGCTATATAATTATATGTCATGTCATCGACACTATATTTCAGAAACAATCTCTCATCCAAGGAAAGTTAATTATACACGAATGATATATTCCTGTTTGGTGGAGACTCTGAGACTTTTGTTCACCTTAAGTAATAATGTGAGCATTTTTAGGACAGACCTATTTCCCTCTAAGTAAAAATGATCCTTCAGGACTTGTCTGCCTTAACGCCTGAACAAATGATAAGAGGTGAAGTTGTTGAGCGTTTTCAGTTCTTATCAATCCTGGTGCATTAGTGTCTGATGAAATTTGAACACGGATTCAGAAAACTGAATTGAATTTTGATAACTTGTGGCATCGGCGAAATATCAGTTTATAATCCAAAGAGCGAGTATACGGAGTAGGAGTTCACTATTTTGTTTTGTGACTGTGAAGTGTGACCTTTACCAACCAAACATATTCATAAGTTGCTAGTAGTTGATCATGAATGGCTACCACAGGGTGAGCAATGTTGAGGTTAAACACTGGATAGTAGGAAAAGATGGCTAATCAGTTAATGAGATGGTAGATGTTTATCGACTGAGGTGGTTGGTACATGTATTACACACGTTTATTCACCGTCTACTTCGACAAACGGTGTTGTCTGGTATAAGAGTAAGCTAGTATAAAGCTAAAGGTGTCAAAATAAGTCGTGGCATCAGTCCATTAAGTTATTGCTTGTTGAACTGAGTCATACATGTGTGTGTCGACTATGTGCTTAGGATCAATGCAGTTTTCGCTACTCATATATCGCGACGTTAGATAACATGACTCAGGATCTGTCTGAATGGTGCATTTGAATACAATTTTTGTCTCACCTTAGATCCTGAGTCACGAAACCTTGTATGAGTCCTCTTCTTCTTTCTCTAATCGATCTTTTTTACTAGTACTGATACCATTGCTTCTTCTGCTATTCTGGGATTCCTTTTCTTTTGTATGGAAACTTGAATTTATGCGTGTGTACCCCAGGTTCTACGTTGTTTTTGACTGGTATATATACCCTTATTAGCCCATTACTTGGCACTAGACAGTCATAATGTTCTAGTTCCATGCTTTTTTAACAGTGCGAACCTACAATGTCATAAAAGACTGAACTAATAAGCTTCAGGTCTCTTGGAGAGAACGTTAGCTATGGACCACTCTGTGAGAATTAATTAGTTCGTATTTTATACTTTAGACACAAATTAGAACAAGGTCGCTCAGTGATCTCTGGTTTTTAAGATGGCTTTAGGCGATCCAAACTACTAATACACCAAACTAGTCTTCAAAAAGCTTCTTCATAAACAACACATTCGTTACTGTTCAATCATACTTACTGGCACAATTTCCCTGACGACTGTCAATGTCGCTGAGGTTCATGAATCAACAAAAATCAGTTGTTTGAATACATGGTTAGTGAAAAACAAGTTCTTACTTTATGTTAAGTGATGAGACCCAAACCCTTAAGCTAAATTTCACGTTATTTGAAGTTAGTTAACAAGAGTTCTTTTAATTTTTTTGATAATCAATATACTTCGAGAGGTTTGAGGTAAATATTATTATCATAGTCGGGGAAGTTTTATATCTTACCTTTGAAGTTAAACATTTAAAGGTCATATTTCGTGTCTACTGCACCAGATGTGAAGACATTATACACTAGGCTAAAGAGTTATGGAAGTCACCATGTGATCACCGGTTATGGAACGCTTTGTCAATTGGTAGGGTTTTTAGCTTGCAGTCGTTTACATTCATGACCGAATTCATGACCAGTTTCTGTTTATCACATGGATCTCTCGAATGAGTGCCTTGATATTTTCTGTACTTACACGTTTTCTGTACTCCTCACAGTAGTTAACAATGGAAAAGTCAATAATGCGATGTCGATACGTTGATTCAATAAGTACTGTAAAGTAAAGAAACACCGGTAACCCTTAACACTCACTTGCAGATTGTGATATCATTATCACTATCATATTCCAAAAAAATACTGAATATACGAATATTAAAGAAGCGGAAACGTAAAACGTCATTGTCATAGAGTTCAAGTGCGTTCAGTTGAGAAGTACTGTTTAGGTAGAAACGTGTTTGGTGGAGTCCACTGCTAACCAGTGTTCAAAAGATGCTAATTTTTTTCACATCTAAGCAAACAGATCTTTTTCTTTTAATGAAGTTATTACAAATTTTAATCACCTAAACAGCCCTTGAGAACCAAGCATTTCCAGAAAAGTGACTGGCTTTTGGTCCAATTACAGTTAAAACGTAGGTTGAGCACTGATAGAATATTTTAAACAATGATAAAATGATTGTGATTTCAAATTAATACTGAGTTTACTCCTTCTTATTTGCATTCGATGATTTGTTATCAGTTAAGGTGGACTGTGATTTCAGGTCACATAGACTAGTGGACACACTGAAACCTGATCAACTTTTTATCAAGATTAGAAAATCTATGAATTGACTAATAGTCAGTGAGCAGTCTGTGTAAATATCTCGGTCATAGAGAAGGTTAGTGACGACCCAACTAGCAGTATCTGAAACTTTGACATTAATTGTTTCAGTTCCATCAAGACTGCATATATGCCTTGTTGATGAGTCCTAACCTATAATAAATTTTGTTCGATTGAAGGCTTCTGTCAGATTATCTCCAAGGTCCTAACATTAAATAATAGTGCACACAATATTGGATTACATGGACTAATGACAACACTGAGACTTAATTAATTTGCAACTTGTTCAGTATTAGCGGCTTGACAACAAAAGAATGAAACGTACACGTTGAATTTGATTAACAATGATTTTCTTGGCAAGTTTATCATCTATATGTAGAGAAACTTAATAAAAAAAATACAATATTTGGTATCACAATTATATGTGCTCTTTAAACACATCATATTACGAGTAAGGAAATAAAACTGAAGAATACCAACATCAGTAAAACAACAAATAATATTTTTACTGAATAAAATTTTTTAACGCATAAACGGAAAAGAAAAGAAGAAAAAATGTCCCTTAGTCTCATCAGAATAAGTTACTAGTAAGAGCTATGATGAAAAATCTTCGGTATTGATAAACTCAAACACATAAATATTCACATGTACGTATACAAAAAGGTATAATTAGTTTAATATCAGAAGGGGCTTTTTGTGGATGATAAATTAATTTTAATAGTTGAGATCATGAGTCAATTGAAATTAGATCCCTATGGAAAACCTGGAAGCACTGGACGGCCGATTTGTCCTTCTGTAGGACTCCTCAACAGTGCGCATTCACGATCCCGCCTCTCAAGATTCGAACCCAGGACATATAAGACTTGCGCAAGAGCTCTTAACCTATAGACCACTGAGCTGGCCGGCATCCAATGGCGTTAATGTCTGACTTCAACTAATCCACGGAATTGAGTTTAACCGGGTCTGTTGTGAGATAGTAACTTACTGAAAACAATGGTGGATGTGTCGCTCAATTTCGTGGATTGATTGAAGTTAGACACTAACACCATTGGATGCCGGCCAACTCAGTGGT